TATATATATATAATATAATCCTCATTGATGATCTTCATTTTTGACATTGTTTCGACATCAATATACCATTTATCATAGCTTATATTTACTCTATATTTTTACTCCATGATCTATTTGTTCTCTAGAAAAATCTCGCTAGATCGTTAATTATGTAGACAATTGATGTTCTGTTCTTGTTTGAGGTTCATTGCTCCTGCTGCTATTGATGTTGCCTACACTTCTTGTAGAAGGCTTGTTTGTGTCAGCAGATCGACTCCGGCTTGAATCAGCGTCATCAATGCGGCCATTGAGATTAAGGGGCTTGCCCGTTGTGTGGCGCCTGCAAGACGGACAAGGTGTTAGACGTTATAAATACGATCGAAGTCGTTGTGGAGCAATAACATTTATCGCAAGGCAATATTTAGATCAATAACTTCAATAGTAAGGCAAACGCGTCGTTTCACGACTTAATTCGCTTTCACTCTCCTTATACATATGCAAGTAAAAAAAATCCGTCATTGTGATTTTTTTCTTTAATGAAAAGGATTTCAACTTGTGTATGTATGTATGTACCATTTATGTAGAAAAATCCTGCACTTCGCGTATGTATTTTGCGCTCGCGAACGTTCGTTCCATTCCATAGTGTGTAGGCCTGAATAGCCACACAGCGAAGCAGGGGCCGTTCGCGATCAGCGCGTGAGAGCTGGACGCTGAGCTCCGATTGGATGCTTAACGAAGGCCGTGTTCGCATGAACGTGACCAGCTTTGCAGAGTCGGAGTCCAGCTGTGAAAGACGATATAATACGAAGAAAACAGAGACATAGAAAAGGATATCACAATGACAGAGCTACGCGCCAATGACACGTTATTATTATTGTATATTTCAGGAATTAACGGTGAACAGTTTTTCATTTATCGAGATTTGACCCTGCAGATTTCGGCAGACTTTCATTAGAAACTTGCATCCGTTTATTATGTTGTGCGGAACTATTTCGAAAGCCTAAAGGTTTAAATGACTTCGCAACTACGTACCTTTAGCAGACGAAATTGGGTAAATGATAACATTTAAGTGTGTTTTTCGGAAAAATGAGCGCTCTTGGAATCTGTTGAGGCGAATTAACACCTTGCTTCTGGAATAACCGTTTCAAGAGTGACAATTAGGCGGTCAAAGATTACAGAATAGGTAACTTTATCTCATACCAAACGAACGAGCTACAGTGATTACGGTAGCTTCTGAGCAAATGATTTCGAGCATCGAGGATGCGTCCCATCAGTTCAATAAGGGATTCTGAATTATGGAACGGTGACGAAAACACTGAAGAAGAAAGACGGATTCTGCACTGCCTGAGTCTAGGACAAAGTGCAAATGCGTCCAAAGTCTGGGACACGTTGTCGCCGATCACAATAACTCGCTGTTTCGTTTAGGCCCCTAGAATGTAGTTATCTCTTCCGCGATTTTCAACTTGCCAACTTACACTAGTAAGGTTCTGTTTTTAGCAGAAGGTCTTTTGCCAACGTCTTGGTCAATTTTCAATGGATTCGATCGGATTTTAATCTTTGAGAAACAGCAGCTGAGCTTTGATTTTTCAGTTCTAAGCAATATTAGTCTCTGACGACACTCAATCTAATCACGATCGTGGGTAGTGAAACAATTTTAATGCAAATACTTACCGAATTTCGTTCTGCCGTTTGGCACGTAATTTCAAAGTGACCTAAATTTTCTGATTTGCCAAATATCTTCAAACAACCTAACCTGATCGTTACGTAAATAGCCATCTCACTGTGTTCGTAGCTGCCCTGCTTACTTTGCGTCCGTTTAATATCCACGTAACGTGGCTAGCTTCGTTTGTATCACGAACGGTGCACGTCGCGTTTAACATGTCCTGTTGCTTGACATACGCGATTTTCGGATTAGAGTCAGCTGTCAGTGACGCGTTTTTGAAGTCGGTTGCCAATCATGGTACCACAGACAACGACAAATAAAAACAATATTTCTTATGTAAGAAAATCATATCATGGTAGGAACGATTTAACCTAGGAAAGCCAATCTGGCTCGAAAAACAGAATTAAACACTGACGACTAATATAACAAGTAAGTATTTGCTATATTCGAAGGCGGAGAGTTACCCTTGTCCACCCTACTCTTTCCAGGGAAACATCATATTGTTAATTTAACTCTCATTTTTTCATCAACGGTTAACAGCTAGGCGAATGGGGCTACTGTAGTAATGGTCTCTTATTCAAGCCGTTTATCAGTTTAAAAAATTAACCTCAGCTTATCTCTTAGGCGCAAATAGGAACACTAGCGCCAAAAATTTGCGAATGTCTATAAGTTGACATATAGAACGAGCGCCATGACTTTTTTTTCGTGGCTCGTCGCAGACATTACGCAGCTCTCACGTACATAATGTATCGAAATACAACTCTAAAATCTAACGCTCGTTACAGATGCTACCTTTCAGAGAGTCAGCATCAACTAATTGCAAAAAACGCAGTCTTAAGCTAAATTAATAGAGTCCATTTGCCGCTGTGGGCATCCAGGCGCAAAACATCCTGGAGATGTTGATACCATTCGAGCGTCTCGTCTCTAACGCTATCACAATAGTCGAAGTAGGGAGTTAATACTGTATCTAGGCTTGAAGAACTATTGGACTTCGTACACGACGCAATGTTTGTTTATGCGATCTTTTTCTTTCTTCTTAGTATTGCATCTGATGATGTCCCGACATGAATTGAGCCCGAATACTACATGGTCCGAAGAGCGTCAGTAGGCACAATTGGGCACTTCAGTATCTTATTAGTCAAACATTTGCCTAAATCCTTCAGACTAATCCTGCCGATGGCTATAGTGTCTCGAAATATGTTGCTGCTAGTTGGAGTGGATTTGCCCTTTTCGTTCACTAAACTATTTGGTACTTGGATAATTAAGGCCGCTCATCTACAGCACGTTTGATATAGCTACTGATCGCATATTCAAAGATACCCGATGCCACGACGCTAGAAGCTACGCGCGGTCATCCGGGTCACAGCATACGCACGCGACTAACCTGCACACACCGTAACTACAATATACATCGCTAACCTGCCTAATTATTGGACTGGCGCATCATAAACTTTGCCAATGCCCCCACGCTACCGGGTATAATAATGGGACCTTAAAGTTACATTTGCCCATATACAGCTACTAACATTGGCGGCCGGTATGTTTTGAAAAAGAATTCTAATCGGTAAAATCTTGTTTCGCTAATTGCCTTATATATTCCATATAAGGCCATATAATTCCATTTCATCCCTATATATGTATATATAGGGATGAAATCACAAATCGGGGCTGGTTCCGCGAAGGCTTGAGTTCATTAGACGTGATGATCTTCCGTTGCTCTAGCGCCTAAGCCCCGTAGAACAGAATAGTTCAGACAACGTTGGTCGTATAAATAGCGAACGCTTCTAGGCATCTCAGCATCGAAGTAAATCTAGATCCTATATGTTGTTCTGTACGAATAGGAGCGTATCATTTTTAAATTGAGTTTGTGAATAGGCAGATTGTCGGTGGTGACAAGCCCCAGACAGAATGCCCCACCGTTACTTCACATTACTTGCCCTTGCGCACATTTAATGAGACGCTGAAAGTGTAGACGCAAAAATAAGTGAGAGAGAGAGAGAGAGAGAGAGAGAGAGTTCCGATTCGAAAACTTTGTCGCTAGGTCTCGCATCGTGCATATACACAGCGACCTAGGTCTTTCAATGCAAGCCATCCTTGGCTTCGAAGCTAACCAGCGCGTATCGTTCTATAGTTACGGCGACGAGGGTTGAATAGCAAATCCAGCGAAAACGGCGAGCGGCGATCAAAATATGTGGATTAGCATACGAAAAGCGATGCACGCGACGATATTAGATTTTCTGTATTCAGGAAGCTTACCGACCCGTATCGATCGGTATCGCTTGCCATATCAATTTTGAAGCGTCCATAACTTGCTTAACAGTGTTAATATTGCCTGAGACTTCGGTATATGTTTACTAATGCCTTGATATGTGTCCTTAAAAGGCTTAGATATAGTTAGCTATTCACATGTATGCTTAACTATGTGCTCCAGACATGTACTGTTTCTTGCATAAAAACAAAAGTGTTTTTGATATGAACCTTTTCAAGGCGCGTGTAGGATCCTGTGTTATTTCTGTTTAGCACATGTGGTACACACGACTGTGGATAAATTGAAGAGTGGTTAATTACTATAATATGTGAATTGTGTGAATAAGATTCGTATCTCGTCATACGGGCCGCGTCAGATAGGACGCCTCGTAATCTACTCGTGACTGGTGCCTCCGGGAACAGGCTCCCTATCACAGCCATACTGTGTTCTTTCTTTAATGCTCGAACAGTGATCGGTGTTAAGTCATATGCAACGAGTACAGTACCCTCGTTCTAAAGGTCTCGAATGCCTATCTTCCATATAATGTACCGCAGATAGCGGTGGACTTTCCCTTTCTGTGAAAACGCTGAGAGGATTTGGAACAGTGACGATCGAATGACTAGCGTCGTGCTTAGCCCAAAACCATCGTCCAAATGCCATATCTAGTCGGCTTTGTCACCACCCCGTATTTCATCCCGACATTGCCTTGCTGTTTCCGATGTCCCGCTCCTCTCAGTTCTCAGCTTAACTCAGCTCTCGTCCATTTGACGTTGACAAGGACGCCGCTGTAGCGTACATCTGCATCTTGAAGCTTCGGATGCCGGGCCAACGTTAGAGGTTAGGCTTGATAACTGTAGGCGCACACCGCTGAGGCAGACCTTCGACGTTCTACTAGTTTGCCACTGCTCTTGCCGTGCTGTCTGCCTGTCTTTGTTCGCTTTTGCCTTGGAGCCAGCGGCATAACAGTTCCCTTTAGTAAGTAACAACCTGCCCCGATTAAGGGCAACCCACTCACTGCTTGGAAAAGACCACGGTCTTCGTCCTTCCAACAACTTCCCCTTCTCCTGTGCCGACCCGTGCTTCTTCTAACATGATACTAGCGATTCAGCTTTCTTCCAACTAGCAAAGGAGGCATTGGATATAGTCATCTCTCGAAGGACGTTGAACGGACAAGCCATTTTCGAGCCCTACAAGTACTGCCTAACCAGTGGAATCTATAGGAGGGCATTGTCGTACCTTTTTCATTGTTAGTAGCCAGACGCAATTTTCCACCGTTTGGACGATGAGTTTTCCTTTTTTTATGTTTTCTTTGGATAGAAAAGGTATAAGCAAAGATACAGCAAAAGCAAGTTTACTACGTTGTAAGTATGTTGTTGGATTTGTTGACTGAAGAGGTGCCGTAACAATTTTTTTTATACCGTCTCTAATTGCGTTGACAATGAATTGTCTGCGTACCGATGAAACCTATTAAGAAGGCGTTTGTTTCAATGTACAGTAGCTCTTGAGAGTGAATATAGACGAATGTACTGGCGTCCGCCAGCAATTCAAACGCTGGCTTACGGGTTATGTTGTATGTCGTCCTGTTGAGTCTCGACATGCTGCGCATGAGGCTGTGTATTTATGTGCCAAGAAGACAAATCGGTGCGGTGAATGGTTGTGCCAACATTGTTGCTGCTAATACGATCCGCGCAGTCATGCAAGCACAGCTGGCAAGGGCATTAGTGGAAGAAGCGGTTATTTGAAAATGGTAATAGTTGTGATCGTGTCGACGAGCCGACGACAAGAGGTTTTGCCGCCTACTGCGCGTCATAGGCCCGCAGTGTCTCGCTCGCCAGCGACTGGTAAATGGAAACATGCCATGTGTAGCAAATGCAGCGACTGTTCGCCTGCTGTTGCCTCCAGGGGCTAAAGACACGCACAGATGAAGCAGAAGACAGAAGAAGCAGACGGACCAGATGAGAATAAAAGGGCGGGAGATTAGATACGTGTGGATGAGAGGGTCCGTAGGGGCAATAACAGCCGAGAATCGAGGTCGGGGCCTACCGCCAGTCAATGGGACGGCAGTCGTCTAAGGGACCAGCAGCGAAAAACAGGGGCCAGACTTGTCTAAAGGGGTCAGGTACGGCAGGGGTGAGAGGCGGGCTTCTCACAGGCTCCGCCCCGCCGCTGTTCGGGGCAGGTTGAGCCGAATGCGTGCAGCCGCTGTAACCGGAGGCCCCGCTGCAGACACTCCACAGACAACTCTACAGCAACTTGCAACGTCGGACTCATGACGGCTGATTTGGGGCGGGTGTTCTGTTCATTCTGTTGTACGCTCTATAGCTGAATAAAGACGACGAGTCGGTATACGCGAGAAGGTACTGATGCCGTTCGTCGCTCTATTTTATTCTCCAGATTCTTCTTGTACACTTTTTGCGCTCTATTTTCGCCTTTTTCATTCTATCGTTTAGGTTTGCTGCTGCTGCTAAAGTCATCATCGCGCTTTTTCTTTGAAACGGCAAAACTCGGTGCAAGGGCAACGCTTGGAACGGGTGCCTTGCTTCTTTCGTTTCGCCATGATGCCGTTGCAAAATGACATTCCCTGCTGGTCCCATGTACTCATGTCCGCGCTTAAATATGTTGCACCACTTTACGTTCGCGGACGCGCTCGTAGCGACCAACCAACCAACGCTTGTGGCAGCACTGAGTGGAAGTCCTGCATAACACTGGCTGGCGCTGTTCAGCATTTGTTGTCGTCCAAGTTTTGGAACGACGACAGTCACTGTGACCGCAGCTTTAACACGGCTCACCAACGTGACCCGACGGTAAGTGCGCGGACAAAACTTAAAACTCAATTGCGCTCCTGTAGGCAGTCCACAAAACCCACAAAACGCTATGCTGTATAACGAAACCTGGCAGCGCATGGTGACAGTGGAACACTGTCAGTATGCACTGACAGCTATACTTAGGGCGGGATTGCAATCAATGGGGTTTGTTGGATGCGTCTGAATTTTCTAGCTTGTTTGCTTAC